ATATATATATATATAATTATATTAAAAGCCCTAGAGGTAAAAGAAGAGAAAAGGAGTGGGTGAGGGAGGGGACCTAGTGCTGACCTATGTCAAGCATTCTGAGGTGCCTACACCTTCAACCGCTCAATCAGCAGCTTACAGCAACACCAATGTTGATCACCGAGGTTTCACTGTTTTACAGTAGGCTGGAGCCATGACAGGCAGACGGTTGTCGTACTCAACCAATGCCGTTCGTCGAAATCTGACATCAAGGCGAAAGTCTGCTTTCTGAGCAACGTGTTGTTCAGCCGCTTCAGCTCTCATCCTGAGGGTCCGAACGATTCACCAGACCCCTCTCTGCGGGCCAAGCTGGCAAGAGATACTGCGTTCTACGTGAGCACCTTTTTAGTAGAACTGCATCGCCATTATCATCGGAATCATCAGTAAATATTAGCGATTAAGTAGCATAGAACCGGGACAATTCCTGGTGACTAATGGGACGAAAGGTCAAAGGAGGCCTACTACAAATGACCATATTTCCCTAGGGGAACAATTAGGAACAAGGTACTTACACTTTGTTACAGCAACCAGGTAAAGGCATCTGAGCATCATATCCAATTAAGACGCCATCTTATGGTTCTTTTAATATCCTTCATTAATCTCCCCACCATACAACGACACAAACTTTAGCTACCGGTCCGACAAGGAGGTGACAGCCCCTTGAACCAGTTAGATGTCATGTACTTAGGGTCTGTAACCACGTGCAAAATGGATCACGCAGGTCATGAACGAGAAGGGACGAAAATCACACAGCAGTCAGCTTGATTGCCGGCTCTTCCCGCGCGTTATTTCATCTCCCCTTGGGACTTTCAGCTACCAAGAGATCGCAATCGAAAAAGTGTTCAACACTGATGCTCCGGTGCCACACAACCATGATTTATATGAAAACCTTATTGTGAAGAAAAGAATAGAGGTGGATGGGGAAGGGACTTGGTGCTAGCTTCCCAAAATCGTTCCGAGGTGACTGCATCTCGAGACACTCATTCAGACAACCTGGATAGAAACTGGCAACCAGAATGGCATTAACATCGATTAGCAGTCCTATCTCGCACCGTCTCCAACTAGAGAACAGTACCCGGAGTGGTATCCTTAGACCCCAAAGTTCGTATTCTACATGCAAAATTCGGACGAACCAGGGTGGAGGCCCATTTTGACGGACCACATCGTGTAACCCTCTGGATGAATGTAAGACAGCTAATCAAAGTCCACTTCATCACGGAAGTCCTGTTATGTCCAAACATTTAGAAGCATTGAGGAACTTGTGAGCTATCTTAGCCTGTCCATATGAGGAATCTGGGCTTGTCCTTCCCAGTGAGACTTAGGAGAATAGCTGAACTTGCCGGGAAACTCGGTTGACAGAACAACCAGACTCGAACCATAAAACTGGGTAAACTGATAATATAATGACAATATATAATATAATATATATATATATTATATAATATAATAATAATATAATAAAAAACCGAAAATGTTTTGCACGAAGTCGATACCATCTATATTCAGCGCAAAAAATTTACATTGCTTGACACCAACCAGGTGTCAATGGTATCTATCCATCGTTGTGTTTATTCTCGTTACAACCGGGGTTGCCTGATTCCCCCGTGTTTACCAGACTCACTACGAGCCCCCCTTTTAGTGCCCACTTTTTTTTCAAAAAAGGGCTCGTAGTGAGTGTGACAACCACAGAAGGATCAGCCTAACCCTGGTTGTAAGGAAACTACTGATAGAACCTATGCTTCGTCGCCATACGGTGGCTCGTGAAACACTGATTCGAGATCAGCAAGCAGGCTTTCGGTAGGGGTTGCGTTGACCAACTCTTCACATTCCATCAGGTGGTGAAACAACTCCATACGTACAAGCGACCCACAATTCTAGCACTCCTGGATTTCCGAGGCGCATTCGACTTCGATGGTTCGTCTGTTCTCTTGGACACGCCTGCCCATCAAGGAATGCCCCGGAAGTTTGTGAACATAAGTTCTCTTCTCAGACTTCCGGACGTGTGAGAGTATTAGGAGGGCTTTCCAAAAGCCATGTGTACTCTTTCCATTCATAGTTAGTTTCATGATCGATGGGATAATGAGACGAACGCTGGAAGGTCTTCAAAACTCCGATATTCAAATAACCTTCGATGAAAACGTTGTCGATCTGGAACACATAGACGACATCGTTCTCGTCTTCGAAGAGGAAGAGGCTCAGGTGTTTTTGGATTAATTGACCAAAGTCACCCCGTCCTTTGGTATGCACTTTTCCCGGATATACAGTCACTGAATAGGCCACTTACAGTCTAGGGATAAGCATTAGACGTGGAGCGTTTTGCGTATCTTGGAGGTTGTATTAGTTGAATCTAGTGTGACAGATGACGTCATTGCACGAATCTGCGAGGCTTTGGTGGCGTTTGCTAATTTGAGACACAAATGGCGTCAAAGCGGTATGTCTTTGAATCTCAAGGGACGTGTGTATCAAGTTACAGTGCGGGCTGTCTTGGCCTGTTCGGGCAGCGGAACTGAGACGTCTACAGGTGTTCGACATTCGTTGTCGCAGAAACATAGCTCGTGTGGGTTTGTGTCGGCGTATCCGTAACGAGGCAGTTAGAAAGCGAGTTTTCGGTTGTGCAACGGACACTTTCATTGAAGAATGTGTCCGGCACCTGAAGCTGCGTTGGTTGGGACATGTGTTGCGTATGGCGAACCATCGTTTGCCTAAGAGAGTGCTGTTTTCCGTGCTCAGTCCAGATTGGTGGAAGCAACCAACCAAGTGGCCAACCATTGACCTGGCGAATGGGTATGAAGGATATTATGAAAAGTTTGGGTGCTGTCGCTGCTGTTCACCTCCCAGGTTGAGGCCGCGTGATCTCCACTGCGTCTGGTTGCAGACGCTGCAAGATATGGCTGCCAACCGATGTCAGTGGCGTTCTTGTTTTCAGTTTCTATCAAGATTGCCTGAATAAGTGTCTGTATGTGTAGGCTCCTCGGACTGATTGTAGTAAGCTAGCACTAAGTTCCTTCTCCGTGCACCTGTATTCCTTTCTTTACAATAAGATTTTCATATAGATTATGGTTGTACGGCAGCGAAGTCTCAGTGTTGCACACTATTATCATGCTGTCGGTGGTGATTATTCGTCAGCAGTCTAACAGCAAATGTGTTGGCCTCATTTACGAAAGATAACTTGGTTACTGGTCCTTCAAAGAACGGTCATCTCAGCACAGAAACCATGCTGAAACCAAAATTGTTAAGATAAGTTGATTTACCGCAGCGTTCGAGAACAGAGGAATTTTCACTCAAGCGCTTTTCCCGTGTAACCATGAGGCCATTTTTCTTTAATCTACTTTCAGCATCAAAGTCCCACCACATTTTCAACTGAGACCTTACGCTATCTGCTTCGATAACAGGAAAGCAAGTTATGCCGATAAACATGTTTCATTTTCCATCGATGTGGATTTGAACTGGGACAACCCATCTAGTGCCGAACGTGCTGTGATCGAGGCACTCCACAAGAGTTCTTTTGCTGATGCACAAACTGAGGCTATGGATGCGCAGTACATGGAGAGTTGGAAGGCTTTGAGTGTAAGTACATTATACTGAGCTGTACTGTCACCAGACGAAGATAATGTGATAACGCTTTCAGTCTTCGACGGAATCCTAGTAAAGCTACAGGTTTTCAGTTCCTAAATAGATCGAATACACGTGAATGCAATTTAATAAGTACGTTCCACTAAGTGCCAAACAATTGTTGCACACATCATGCTGTCGGTGGTGATTATTCGTCAGCAGTCTAACAGCAAATGTGTTGGCCTCATTTACGAAAGATAACTTGGTTACTGGTCCTTCAAAGAACGGTCATCTCAGCACAGAAACCATGCTGAAACCAAAATTGTTAAGATAAGTTGATTTACCGCAGCGTTCGAGAACAGAGGAATTTTCACTCAAGCGCTTTTCCCGTGTAACCATGAGGCCATTTTTCTTTAATCTACTTTCAGCATCAAAGTCCCACCACATTTTCAACTGAGACCTTACGCTATCTGCTTCGATAACAGGAAAGCAAGTTATGCCGATAAACATGTTTCATTTTCCATCGATGTGGATTTGAACTGGGACAACCCATCTAGTGCCGAACGTGCTGTGATCGAGGCACTCCACAAGAGTTCTTTTGCTGATGCACAAACTGAGGCTATGGATGCGCAGTACATGGAGAGTTGGAAGGCTTTGAGTGTAAGTACATTATACTGAGCTGTACTGTCACCAGACGAAGATAATGTGATAACGCTTTCAGTCTTCGACGGAATCCTAGTAAAGCTACAGGTTTTCAGTTCCTAAATAGATCGAATACACGTGAATGCAATTTAATAAGTACGTTCCACTAAGTGCCAAACAATTAAGGTAGTAAGATCTTACGACTCTCCAGTAGTGCTTGTCTGCGATTTGTCTATAACGTATAATTTTTCCGATGCATTGATTGCACCTCGTCGCCCAGCGAACCTCTGTTTTGGACCATAGTTTTACGGGCTTCACATCTGTTTCAACATTTTACGGTCATTAACACAAGTAGTCACATTGATAAGAGGAGTTCACGGGGAAGGACACCATTCAGCCTACCCTTCAGAATGATCCGCCTTCAAAGAGGGGAAGATTCCACCGGAACTTGTTGAGGGTTGAATGCACAAACTGCGGCCCGATAAGGAGAACGCAACCACTAACTTTTCTGTTCGAATTTCTCCAATTCAATCCGTAAAGAACGAATTCTTCGTATGGAAGGAGAACGAACACTCAGACAAAAAGCCCACTTTTGAGGTGAAGACACCGCGTTTCTTTTTTAAAGTTATGCTGCAATTGCTATCTCATTGTTGCAGATTAGATGTGGGAGTTTGGGTCCAAGATAATTAGCCTAGTCGTTGGATTCCGTTATGCAAGAAAAAGAAATAAGTACTGTGCAACCATTTCGTGAGCCGCAAACGCCCGACTGGCCCATGGCTGTCAGATTGTCCAGATAGGTCAAGATCTGGTTGACGTAAGAATCCTGTTTAGTTTAAAAATTTATAGACCGTGCGAACTGGTTGACGGGCTCGTGTCTGGAGGGCAGTATCCCAGCATTAGTAACCATAGAGTTACGCGACCAGTCCTCTTTTTACCCGGTAAAGATGAAAGACCTCGGGCTTTTTGGAACCCAACTCTGTCCTTGCCCTTCCGTTCTTGTTTTATGGGAACCAACGAGCATCCAACAAGGCTAGGACAAGTCTTGTAATTTGGGATTATATGCGAATACCATACATCATATCTGAAGTTAGTAAGCTTTATTTTGGTAGATTTCCAACTATGATAACTCAACCATACATTTTTGTTTCCTCTTACTGCATAACCAAATGCGAAACAATAATTAATTGTCGTTTAGTTTTTAAGTTGATACTCTGTTCTTGGGCGAACAGTTACCTTCCAAATTATCCATGTTTTCTACCTCTGTGTGAAGGATCGGATGGAAAGCTTGTTTGGACGGTTAAGACGCATCGAACATTTACAACAGAAGACGGATAATTTTGCCTCTGTTGACAAAGCATTAATGGAAGCGAATGGAGAGCGTGTTCTGCGTGGTTCCTTGGTCCAGATATTCATCTTGCTTACTGTAGCTGGTATTCAAACCCTACTTATTCGCGCTTTTTTCGACTTCAACAGTCGTTTCTACCGAGTATGGTTCGGCAGACGATCAGCAACCAGCGCCCGATGTTGACTTTGCCATTCTAGTCTCCTTTTCTGTTTTTTCGACGCCGCCATTCATGTTGCTGCTCCCGTCTTTCTTCGCCTATTGAAATACTCACAATCCCGAGCTTCCGTGATGTTATACCGTTTGTTGTTCGTTTCGTTGGTCGAGTTTTCCCACATCATGAGTGCAATGTCAAATTCCATATCAAATAAACACGTATCTTGTCTCCACCGTCTTCTTTCTTTTCCTGTACTTGTTGTATTCAGCTTGAGCCAATTCAGCAATAGTTGATCTGGCTGACTTGTCACTCAGAGTGCAGTCACGGTGTGCGGTTTTCACATGGGAGTTGGGCACCTAAGCTGATAGCATAGCCGTGGCCGGTTTCGCCTACCCTGAAGACAGTCTAGAACCCAGTGTCCAACAGTTGCTGCCGCTTGGATGTGATTTACGTTTCATAGCGCATTAGGTGAACAAACCCAAGTGAACCCGACGCGTATGGTGTGCTTGTTTGTTTTGAGGCTTCTTATAGAGATATCTGGTTGGTCAATAGTCAGAGGTGTGCAACAACAATTGCTACAAGTTGCTCAAACGCCATGCATGATCTGTTGCTTAGAGCGTTTTCTCGTTGACCTTTTCTGTCCGCGTGTGTGCTTCGGCAAGATAACTCCTCATCCGACAGACTTCATCATATTTTTCCTGAGTTCTGCTCCTGGTACGCTGGGTCAGAACTCGCGAGAACCTGTCATACGTGTTGAATCCCCGCACTTAAGTAAAGTCTGGGGTTTTTTCGACTTACTGTGGGACCGGGGTCAAATCCATGGATTTATGGACCTTGAGCGAGTGCTTCTCAATCAAGCTTCAACGCCATTGGCGCCAAAGAGTCACCCAAGTCTGGCAACTCAGAGAACAGTCAATATCTAGAATGTTGATTTCTTCTGAACGTATAATGCTTGTTTATAGAGGCGCATCTTTTCATCCCTTCCCTGTTTCACACATTTGATTCCATTCCAAAGTACGTATTCATTAATGTTCTGTACTTAACTTCAGCCAGAGAATGCATTCAGTCAAAATGGATGAAGATGAAGAGAAGCGCTGGCGGCTTGCTTCTGAAGCCGGGCAGAAATTTAGCTCACTCTACTATCGTGCATTCGATAAACCCAATCGTCCAGAGATACCTGGCTTCTTTATGGATACAGTGGTGCTCTTGTGGAATGGCAACCGAGTGGAAGGAAATGATGCCGTAGTGCAATTCTTGAACAAGCTTCCCACATGTTCGACTATGCTTCATTCACTCTCTGCTCAACCAGTACACAGTACGTTGTTCATTGGTTTTGATTGTTTTTTTATACGAGATTTTGAGTACTGTTTTGTCACAGCTCGCCATGCGGGGACCATCTGACTGAGCTACTGTGTTTCAGGTTTACGATCATCTGTCGCTCCTGAAGGCTTAAATATCCACTTCTCGGTAATACAGAGCTTCGCGCATATCCGCCGAGGCCTCTAAGATAATGAGGTTTAGCAGGAGCACTATTTCCACTGGAACGAAACGTGTTTATGGTAGACGGGTTTCAGAAAACTCCTTTCCATGACTCCCAAAAATGTAGGGAATTTTTCAGTATATTAACTTTTCATCTGATCTTGATGTGAGGGTTTTCAGTTTTAGAGCCTTGCACACCCTCACCTGCTCCTTCAGAAATCCACTTACAATCTGGATTCGTCAGTTTTTTTTTCGCATCCTGCTACCAAAATGGAAAAGAGTAACAGTGGTCAAACTCTAACTGAACTAATAGATGAACTCTTCTAACTGGGCTATCTTTGATGTTGTTGATTGGCGAAACTATGAGCGCCTGAACAACAATGCCCACGTTTTGGGCATTGTTGATGATATTCTTTCCCTGGCGCTGCCCCTCGCTGGAATTGTGTCATATCCGTTGGAACGCACATTGCTGGTATAGGTATCCTTTATAATATATATATATACATATAATATATGTATTATAATATGATCTACTACAACACCGGAATCCTTGAAAGGAGCCGTTACGGAAAACCAATCCCATATCATTATTTGGGTACTGTATGATCCGAAGATGACCCACAGAGGTACCTGTGGATATAGACGAAATTCCTTCAGCGGATGATGACAGGGTTGCAAGCGCTTACACAAAATAACCTGATCCCTTGCTGACTCTCACTACGGCGTAAGTTGTGTACAAGACGGTGTGCACGGTGTACAAGGTTGTGTAAGTGCATTCTAAATGACGGTTGTGATATTCGTTCGCCATTCGCAGCTCTTTCGTTTCATGGCCAGGCACACCAATGGGAGCACATGGACCACTTTTTCACCCTAACATCAATGGTGTCATTCGTAGATATGTCAGATTCAGATGTCAGATTCTAAGAGATGTCAGGGGTTTTTAAGTGGCCCTACTCTGACAGCAGTACTCCAGAGCGTATTTCGCACCTATTTAGCTGTGGACTCTGCACCTCACAGTTTGTCCAGATACTTGCTTCGTTTCCCCTTTCGTTCTATCCATTCGTCTTTTCCCACCACAAGGTGTCTTCATGGTAACCCTTTCACTGTGCTGCATTCCAAGCGTTATGTTCAGGTTTTGATATGTTCCACACTTTTATCGCGTCAGTAACTGCGCGCTATTACCGCACTGGAGTTCACATAATACAGCATACCTTGCGCATTCAAGTCGTAAATATACAGTTTGCTCCCTTCTGACACGAACTCATCATTTCTCGTTGCTTTAGAAAGCCTCAGTGGAGATCGGTTATTGGTCCTTGTGAATGTGTTCGGCACCATCAAATTCGACCAACATAATACCCGCCAGTTTTCGGAAACCTTCTTCCTCACACAAAAGGATGGCCTCTGGCGTGTTCAGTCTGATACATTTCGGTTTATCGATTGATGCAACTTTCATCCATTATTATACACTTTGTAAACATTCCCGAACCCACAAACCCATACATCTGAGATGCCTTCATATTTTCAAGTATTTTATGACAAGCTACAAGGGCGTTGGTTACCAGACTAAAATATTATTGCTGGGGCTTGAAACTGCCGCCAATATCCCTGAAATCCTCGTCATTTTTGGGACAATATATATATATATATATAATATATATATCTTATATATATAATGGGAAGGAAATCATTGCCTATTACTTTGCGTTTTATTACTAGGAAAACCTTATGCAGCATTCCAGAGTAGCTAACTCTAAGAAGCCAGATAATGTGTTTCTTACATTGTGACCTTTCGACAATTTTTGTGATATGTCCAGGTTAAGTTGGTTGTCCCTATCAACTTCTTAGAATGGTCGGACAGGAAGCATAGACTCTAGAATTCTATACATGGTAGACGTTGAATAATCCTCGGCTTTCTATTGAAACAGAAGGTCTTCCATAGGATCATGTGAGATATTTTAGGATGTCCGAAACGAAAAGATCCAATTTTTCGAGATTGGCCCGAATAATGGTCTACCTCAACTAGCTTTATTCTAAAACGATCAGAGTTGGAGACTGGTGAGGAAAACCAATGTTTTTGTATGGATATCTGCCTACCCCGACGGATGCAGTCCAGACTGATGTGGTGTGAGTGTTTCATATGCAACGAACTGTTGGGTAATTTGTTCCCCTATAGAATGATCATTTCACGAAACTAACTAGAGGTGTTCTTTCTAAAAAAGTTTTGTTCCTACGAAAGTTCTGTCACATCAATACGGAAAATTCCTTCGAATCCCCTAGCATGTTCTAACTGGAACGAGAGACTTACTCTCGTGAAAACCAAATTGATTTGCAAATGAGTGTATTTCTCGAAAACGGTCCAATTTGGGTTCAAGTAGCTCATAAGGTTGACGGAAACTCGGGGACTGCGCCTGCCTTATGAGCCTTAAGAAGGGCGGAACCGGTCGTGGGTTGTCGAAGAGTTTTCAGCAACTCTGTGAGTAGTTTCCTTTATGAAAATAACTAGAGGTGTTCTTTCTAAAGGAGAAAGGTTTTGTTCCTACGAAAGTTCTGTTGCATGAATACAGAAAAAATCCTTCGAATCCCCTAGCATATTCTAACTGGAAGATTTGTGGTTCAAAATCGTTTCTGTCCACTTATCTGGGTTATTCCAGGTTATTCCAAACTGGACCTCACCTATAGAAGTGTCTGGTTGAACTAAGCATCTGATCTTTATAGCTGCATCTTTTATAAAGCCAATGGCGAAGCATGAAATCAGATGACCAAAGTTGTGAATGAACATTGCTTTAGTTGGAATGCAGTTGCGTATGAAGAGACCGCATGCTCCGTTGCTGCTTATTTCATTGACGAACTCCACCCGAAAAAAAAACAGTTATAGTGGGTTCCTGAAAGAAACGCTTACTTTAACTTCGTCGCACCTGACTACTTCCAAAAATAAACCAGTCGCGTGAATGACCCTTACCGGGACAGCCTTTGTCCGTCGACTAACAAGTCTTGCTTGAAGGGGGCACCATAGAAGGATACGGGACTCGACTATGCGAAGTCTGATTCGACACTAGACTGTTAGGTCTTCAGTTGCCGCTGTAATGACGGCATCTTTTTCAGATTAATTCTCAGTCTGAGCCTTCCAAGCAAGCGTTTTGTCAAAACAACCAAAGGTACACGTGTATTAACACCCAAAACCAGGTCAAACACTTGTACAGCGCGTCATATATAGTGTGTATGCGGCGACTCTATTCTGGAATTTCTGTTGCCTTCTGGATGTGGTATTCGGCGAATACTGGATCATGACTGACTGTTGGGTCCAAACTTTCTGTCAATCAGAGCTCACCTTGATGCTGGACAGGCAAACGATCTGATCTTTTGGCCAGTCGCGAGCGGGATAGGCTTGTTGCCCGTAGCTTTACCTAACTGCAAGCGCTACCGGTGCAGAATTCCGCCTAAAAACTGCCTAAAATATACCTTTACTGTGTCGTATCCTGAATCGGATTTCAGTATGTGGGACGTTGCCTGGAACGAACGGGTTTCTCCTTTGTAAGTCTGTGTTCCAATGGTAAACCTAGGGATATGGCAGTCGGTTGCGCTACTCGACCTCATCATGTCAGTGGGAGTATGTGGAATTAGACGTAGCATTCCCCTAGTATACCTGTCTCACAGACGACGCGAACCAAAACGGCTAAGATCCGCCAGTATGCCTTTCATGCCGGACATGCCCTGTCCGCACTGTCTTCCAGTAAGCTTCGTCGTACAGGACAGGACAAGACAACAGATCATCTGCCAGACAAAGACCATGACCGGGCCAGTTTAGTTGGCTACTTCGTATGATGTTGAGTAATTGATATGTTGCCGAAAAACATTACACTTTGACGTTGCCGCCATCCCCGCGATAGGTGTGCAGTACAGGCAGTCGGCTTGTTTTTCGGATACATTGACTGAGCTTCCATACGACCTAATCCTGGAAGCATTGTTGTAAATCGTCCAATATGCCGATAAACTAACGTAACATCGTCACCAAAGATGCCTGGTATAAACGAAAACGACAAAACACCATCGAAATGAGATAAGCAAAGAGACTGCTCCGGTTTTGGTGTCAAAATCAGCGAGTTGCTGCGTCTCACACCAGAGAAGGTGCGAATTGTGTTCTGTGGCCCTTGGAGGTGTGAAGTCTGAGTACTGATTAAATCTCTCGTCATCGATACCTCAGAACCGCGACTGGGCTTGTTCCACTATTCATTTTGTGACCGGGAAACCATTTATTGAATATTGAATTTCCTAGAGAACGATGAAAGCCTGTGCAATTGCAGCCGCTAATTTATTTATTGGCCACAGCTGCGATTTGACCTGTACTTATCCGATGTTCTGTATACGAAAGAATATCGGTCAATCAGGCTGTATGGTGCTAGGCAGCCCTTATCTGTGGAAGTATCGTCATACAGCCCATTGGGAACTTATGTGGTTTGTTACGCAGTCTCTGGACTGCTTGCCAGATGTATCTGCTGTTCACTTGTACCTTGGATTTTCGTATGATATTGCGTGAAACTGTATTCTGTTGTTTTATTGACTCATGCATGTATCTGCAAATAATCCCCTTAATTACCAGCATTCCAGAGTTTTAAAGCTGCAATGGTGTTACAAGTGACATTGCGACCATCGCTATAGGGCGCAAGATAACTATCGACTTGCACTAGCCAGAAACCTGTGCCGTGGGAAGTTTCTGAGTGATATGGGCTAACGGGCTATTTTGCGCACACTGATTTAAGCTGTTCAGTGGCCCACCCATGAGTTGACAAACACGACCATCAAATTAGCATGCTGATGACTAGAAGTTCCCCTATCCTATTAACATTGGATACAGGGAGTTCACCCGATTGCATGTGGCTTAGCACAAACCGCTTGCGGTGCCGTGCATGCGGGCCCACCACCATAGTCCAATGGGACAGGCAAATCTGCGAACATATCAGCCCACAATAATTGGCCCGTTGTTGACTGAGGTTTTTCAACTTGATGTAAACATCTTATCGCCAGTCTGGATAGCAAGAAAAATGCAAAAGTGCAGTGTTTCATAGTTGTTCCTTGACGCTTTCTTCAACTGTTCAAGCCTTCGTAGAAGATGTCACTTTTAGCCTGTCTTGGCTGACGGAAGATCTAGCGCGATACTGTGGTTAGATATGCATATCACCAATGCAGCGAAACCTATTTAAAAAGATCCTCCGGGCCCTCAGTCGAAACCATTGGCTCAAACGTTTTTTCATAGTGTGGTTTCTGTAAGATTACCATAGCGAGAATAGGTAAAACAGTCGGCACATATGTCCAGAAATGGAAAATATATGAACTGCGCTCACTGAACGTGAGACATTGTCAGGGTCACATGAACACGCTTGCAGTGTAGCAGTTTATCAGTTGCACAAACCAAGCCATGGTAAGGTGACGCAACCGTGGAGCCCTGTTGTGTTGGTCATTCACTCGACACAGCCGAGAATTCTTTCATCGCGACAACTCAAATCACAACAACAATGGGAGATTCACGACGAGACAGGAGCTAGTACTATGCATAAAGTACCTAATATCAGCTCTTGTTATCTGTCCGCCAAAAGTCCGGGTTAAAACATCACTTCAAAGCCAACCGTTATGAAGCGTTAAGTGGGATCACAAATCATTGCTTAATGAATTTGACCATAATTTTTTGGCCAATGCGTTGAGGCTCTTTTATGGACCACTCAACGGACAATCGGAAAGATACCATGGATGGATTGTTAGGAGCTATCAGTTAAGCCACCCACGAACCGAAATCGTTTTGTACAAAACGTTTTTCACTTATAAAGAGGCCAAAACACTGATAAGTACTACTCGTAGGAGAACAACGCTCACTTGCCTAGTATCCAAACGCCTGAAACGGATAGGGAACAGCGGTCAACTACTCAAGTGCGTCAGGGCTCACCTGAAGCGTGTGTCCGGCGTACCATCTGACAAGGTGAAGTGCCTGATGCAAACAAGTGTGAGGTAAACTAAGTCTGGTTAAAACAAAGCGCGACTTTACAGTTTTATCTGTGCCCCTCTCTCCGTTTGAGAATAAACCCACATTTATTATTTAGTGTTTCATATTTGAATTTCTCACCACACAAATGAAACGACAGTTGTGTAAGAAGAATCATCTCGAAAAAGGATTTAAAATCTTGTGTGTAATGAATGACCAGGTTTGGGAAAAGACCGCAGCACAGAGAAATGATTTAGCATAATTATGAAACGCAGTTCCGAATGACGGAAATAAATGCAAAGGCGAGGAAAATGTAGACAAATGGACGAAAACAGCAGTCACCGGTAGTTATTTCGGTAACGAGTCTTTGTGTAAACGGGGTCGTTTTTTATCCAGAGCGGGACTGACAACCGACGGTCTTTTACGGATTCCATTCATTGCCGTCGTCTTGGAAGATGCATCGCTCGGTGAAGACGATGTTTCGTTAGCCGCCGCAAACGTTTCAGTCTTTAATTTCCGCTTCAATGTGACCTTGAGCGGTTCTACACGCCGTTCAGCTTCGCCNCAGCTTCGCCCTAGGTACAATCTCCGGCTGAACATTCTCGATTTCCTCTGCAGTTAAGTTTTCTGTGGTTTCTTTGATTCCCTTTGCTGCCTTTATTCCTTTGCCCGTGGGTTTTTTATCTGAATCCGCGAGCTGAGGTCGGTGGCCTGGACCGGTGATTTTCATGCCCTCGTGATCGGTACAAATCCAACGGAAACTGGAGATGATTGTTGAGCTAGTGATAGAATTCAGGCCGGTCTTTGCAAGATCCCACCGTTCCTTATCCAAGTCATCCACTTCGATCTTCGAATCGAGCGCGTGGTCCAAGCAGTATGAGTTTGGACAGCGCCAGCACAAGTGAGTCGAAGGATGTCCACATTGATCACAATAATGCCAAGGGCAGTACCAAATACCACTAGGTGGGCTGGACAGTCCCAAGCAATTCAGGTGGAACGATTTAGGGCAGCTGCTCTTGTCACAAAGCAATAATTCACCCCCGTCCCCACATCTGTAAGAAAATATAATAATAGTAGTAGTAATAATAATAATAATAATAATAATAATGAAATAAGTCGCTGCCGATAGTTCGGTAAAAATACATCCTAAGACTACTTTAACATGTATGCCTTGAAAACTGGAATGAAAATTGAACGCATCTCACGGTCCAAGCAATATTTTAATCCAAAAACAGTTGGCAGTGCTGCACTGGCAACAGAACAAACAACCCGAAACGCCAGATGATCATTCACTCATCGTTTAGCTGTAGCACCCTGTCGGTGACTAACTGCCACGCCATAAGAAGGAAGCACAAGGGCTGGGAGACTCCCAGGTTGCCCAAGCCTAGACAGGGGAAGTCGAGAAGCAGTGGTCGGGTTCAAATCACGGACCTTCCGGTCAGTAAATTCGCGTTCTAACCGCCTGAGCAATCTCCAAGGCGATGATCACGAAGAAGAGAATTGTTATTAGCAGTGAATGCGCACTGAATAATTTAATGGACGGAGGCTACGTATGGCTACTTCCCGTGAGTTGGATCCTCATATATTATGGCTGGAATGTTCTGTTTCTAACCATTCGCCAACAATCCGGGGAGCTTAATTTAATATCTGTAAGTTTTCTTTGAAGGATCTTTTTTTATTGAGACTCACGGTTATGTGAGGGGGCTGCGCGATCGCTTCGCTACAGGATGACCATTGACTGGCTATTTATATCAGGGTCGCTAACGACTCGTTATCTACCACGTCGATTGGTTCATCTGCAAGTGTGTTTTGGGTTTGACCTCAATCCGTCTTGCAGGGGTTACGCGCGTACTGAGCCGTGCAGCAGAATCACTCTAATGATTTCAGATAGTTTGCATTTCGCAGGGTCCGGGTAAGGAAGAGCAATATCTTCAGTATACTTGATGTCCGTGAGCGAACACCCTAGGAGTGTTCCCTTGACCTCTGCCTCTTGACTTCTCCTGTCTAGGGTGGGTAAACTAGCAGCCCTCGTGCTTCTTTCAGGTGGCATGGCAGCTAGGCACCGAAAGGGTGCTACAGGTGAACGACTTTTTTAGATAATGAAGACTCATACATCAACGATCACGCAGTTAAAGTGGGTGACAGAGAGGACCCTAAAACGACACTACTGGGTTTTGTGAACCCAATGGAAGATACGCTTTAGGCACATACGGGTTTCAGTTTTAGACCTTGTCTTGAAGTGAAGAAACAACTGATGTAAACCTGATCAGAACGAAGCCTAGCTTGATTCCCGCTAATATTACTCTCCTGATGATGGCTAACCTGCGTAGGATAATAGCAGGTGTGGTCACTAGACTCGTACCCCGGTGGTACTCGCATGATGATCTTGCGTATTTCAAAATGAGCAGCAGTATCTTATCGAAGCTCACCATAGGTAGGTGACTGCCACATGGTCCAATTGAGGCCAGGGCTGACTTGGAGTTCGTGGCCTCCAGTTGACGTGGTGTGAGCCCTTGTGCTAAGTTTTTACTGCTTAAAGACCGCTGATACCCAACAAAGGATTGAACGCTTCGCTCCTCATTGTGTGTGAGGTGAGTGCCAACCCCAATCGTTCGCCAAGATGGGTTACCTCCGAACTTATTCAGCCGACGTGAATATTCATATCATTCAGCAGAATCACGAGATCTATACCGTCTCATATAAGACTTTTGCTACGCCATGGGTTAGCTAATCCTGCTTCAAATACGGCAGAGCATATGAATTCACCGACTGCTTGTGCAAACGAACCAGGCGGAATCGCTTATACGTTACCTGTAGCAAAAATCTTCGTGTGGTGGAGGACGCAGACCAAGCAAAGCATACTGATCGTGCGCAATGTCTGGCTGAGGCGCCGGAAGCTTGGCCTTGGACATGGCGGCTCGTGCTGCTGCAGTTGTTGGTTGAATGAGTGCGCGGTCCCGACGAGCCGAAGCATGCGTTGAGGCTGCCGCAAGTAAACTGACCACAGAGAAAGCCTGCGGCTTTTGTTCTGCCACTTCTTCGTTTGTTGTTGAGAGAGACCCCCGGCTAGCATTTGTGTCTGCAGGCGTTTCGGATGCAGACCCTTTTGCCTTCGACTTCCGACGTTCGTTAATCGCCGATTGCGAGGACACCGGCACTTCAGCAACGTGGGATTGAACCGATTCAAAACTTTTTGGTAAGTTGAGCGTGCTGGCGCATGTATCTGCGCCACATAAACAGAGAGAGGCTGCCCCCATCAAACCAGTGGAAAGAAACTGCGAAGTCCGGTAATCAACGGTCAACTCCTCGTTTGGCGCGATTGCCTTCAAGGCGAAAAGACCTGTAAGGCAAATAAAAAGGTATACAGTAACCCCGGGGAGGAACAGTCGAGATTAGGAAAGCAAAAGAACGAAAGGTATTGAATGAATGAGATATGAATAGATAAAAAATACCCCTCGGCTTCTGAGCATAATTTCTATCGCTGAACGAAGACTTGGCGGTGGTATCTTCAGTCTATAAGAAACGACTTGAGATAAAGGGAATTCCATGCAGGTTAATCCGTCACTGGCTTTACTCAACACTTAGCCAACACGATACGAGTGTATCCCAGTAGCCAAATCTTCACGCAACAGCGACATGAGGTGGAATGGCGAATATGAAGGTCATCCTAGATAAGGACTTATGGTTAGTCGTAACTGAAGCAAACTGCAATGTCGAAGGACGGAACTATCGACAGCACTAGCTCGATCTATAAACTTATGGATCGAAATCGTTTCTTAAGAAGTTCGAAAGTAAGTTGGAGTATGTTACAGATGATTGGCGCCATAATATTGACTGATGGCCCAAGCAATTTAGTAGTTTGATTAGGGTCACAACCATGGATGTTTTACCAACCTGGTAGGCAGTTCTCGATGTGGACCGTAACCAGAATAATGTGGCTAACATCTGTTGCCCTGTCTATAAGGATGTAAGTCACACCATTAGGTAAGCAGTGAGATAAACCTGCTGAGAAAGACTCACCGTTGTTCGCCTGGGGAACGGTTGTCTACGCAACTTTGAGGCCTAAAGAGAACCAAGCCACCCGGACAGTGTTCACCCTAACACGTTTGTCAACTGGCGCTCGCCACACAAGCCTCTTGGGTTACCAACGCTTTGCGTTGTTCGGGCTGCCCAAAGTCAATACGTGGACCAAAGCAATTCCTTAGAAAACAAAAGTGACTGCCTTGTTGCTGAAATGGCACCAAGTCTTCAGCTAAATCAGCAGCTCCAGACCGGAAGCTGCTACAGTACTGACCGTTGGCTCAAATAGTTTCAGTTTGTTGTTTGAATGATTTGACAATCATCACCAATTTGTATTTTCGTTGTCCATTTTGTCATTCGTACTAGAAGTTTGAATGGAACGGGTAAATGAATAACATATTTCGAAAATAACTAGTGACACCCTGCAGTAATAGCCATATTTGCTGTTGGTTTATTCGCTGAGCTCAGCAACTTGATTACAAACGTTTCATCACCAATCGAGATGACATCACCAGTGTGTTGTTAGGCAACGTAGTGGTGCGTAGCGATGGGTAAATGGCTATGTGCTGAATAGTGCTGCGTGTGTTAAACTACGTGCTGCTAGCAGGGGCGACCTTCGATCACGATTGATTGTTGGGTCGGGAGATTCCATCGGTTGGTCTGTTAACCTGTGATCTAATTTGTCGCTGACCATTTGGTCCCACTCTCGTATTTTGGTCGCTGCTCGAGTGACCTCTGTCACTGAACTCTCTGGGTTCCAGTTTGTGACCTCGATTCGTGATGCAATCAAATCGCCCAGCTCAATGAACAAACATGACCCGAGTTACCAACATTCTCCTCAATAGTCCTATTTGTGTTCCCGCTATAATCGTCATACGTTTAACACGTCGCGTAAATCTAAGGCCCAAGCGAGGTTAAGAAACTAAGACGACCGATGGTAACGTCTGAAAAAGTTGTTCCAACCATTTGTTTACTGTTGCTCATAATGGACCATAAGACACCACACAAAACAGCCAGAAGAAAATATGACGATCTGGCGATAGGATTTAAAAAACAACACATCTTTGAGCCTAGCCTAAAATGAAATGAATAATTGTTATTGTAACTTGCTGTTGCGCAGGCGGACAAGTCGTTAGCTCCACAGATAGAATTCGACAGAGTCACATTTAAGATACGACCTTGAGAAAACAAGGTCCGTGATTCGAGCCTAATGCCGGCAACTCGACTGCTTCTATCTAGGCTTAAGCAAACTGGCACTGTCTCTGCCCTCGTGCCCCCAGTGACTTGGTACTTGGGTGTTACATCTGAACGATTTTTTTAATCAGGAATCAGAACTGGAACGTCACACTGTACCACAGTGTTCGTCAAAATATGGTTCCTGCCTCATGCCTCCGTCACCACTCATTAAGTCGCTTTCCACACAATCAGGTGGACCTATCACGAACAGATTAACATCGTTATTTTTGAGTTTCGTGTAAGTGGGCTCATCTTCCATTCTATCAACCGTACATCACATACGCCTGAAGGGCATTTGTTTTGTCATTCACGCCGAGTCTTGTTAAGTCCCTGTTCAAAGTTTTGAAAGGAATAATTCTATCAGATCACTCACTGTTGAGAATTTGATGTTGACACTTTCATCCAGCTACAAGCTTAGAAACAAGCATCAAATGCGATACCTGAATCCAGTAGCCCATGGAACCGTGAACTGATGTGAACGCTACCATCATCCGGGAATATAGATCGTTTTACCGATGATTTGGAGGCGCCTTCGAGGCGGTAGTTAATACAATTGATGCGTAAGTACGGGCCTGTCAGTGGACCTTTAAGTGGGGAGATTGCGAGGAGAGCTATGCATTGAAGTTATTAGCTTGGATGCAAGAGCGCCATTGAGGTCGCGGCTGAGCCATGTCTGACAACGTCCATAACCATTGATGTGGCCCGTCTTGGGTTCCCCATTCATGGAGACAGTAATGACGGGCGCAACTGAGTTCGCTGCTAATGGCTTTTATACATCGCTGCCAAATAATTGTTTGACTTCTCCTGATTCGTCTCCACTCTTAGCGCGGTTGTGCGAAAAGAGCACGCCGAGGGAGTCGGTCGACCTGACAAAACCATTTGACGTACTTCAACATCACTGGTCCGGTGTTCACACCGGACTCGGGCAGGGAGGGGAGTCTGGTAGGGAGACTTCCATAATCCTATTTATGATGCAGTTGAAGTGGAAAGGTGGAAAAGGAAAGCCTTGCCTGATGTAGTGAACCCATATTAGAGCTTCCCATAGGCCATTACGTGTCCATGAGAGTTGGCGAACAACACCCTAAGGAGGGTCAAGAATTTATCGGGGGCCCCTTTGCTCCACAGACACTGCCATAGTGCCTGAGGTTCCACAGAGTCAAAGGCAGCTTTCAAGTCAAGCAAAACAACCAACAGTGGTCGCTGGAAGCAGCATCCCTGTTCCATAATCTGCCGCATGGTGAAAATGTGATAGATGCATCCACTTGCAGGATGGAATCCTACCTGGTCTCTCCCTGTGTTCAATCAACCTTTGAATAAGAAAAACGAGGGAGCACCTTCAACGCCAGAGCTACCAGGCAGATGCCACCGTGGTTTTCACACAGCGTCCGTCAACATTTTTGGAGATAGGAATGACTGCCGATATGTCCCATTCTGCAGGTAGTTTCTCTCCACTCTATATCGCACCAGTGAATATTATTAGATGGGTCACCAAAGATTCTCCACATTCTTTGAACAGTGATGGATACAGACCTTTTGATCCTGGTGCCTTCCCAAGTTACAGTACGGATATTTCGTACTTTCTTTCTTCTTCCGACAGGCGACCAAGGTTTACATTCCATTCGCCCGTACACACTATTTTTCACAGGGTGTGTTGCATAAGGCCAGCTAAACTGTCCGCTGAAGTGTTCGACCCATCTTTCCAGTCAACGCTTTGGGAGTGAATTTGTGAACCGCCTTTTTCACTTATCGTTTTACTGAATGTTGGTTTCCTAGCGCCAGTCGTTGATGTACGTTGATATAGGATACGGCTTTTCCTGTAGCAAAACCCTTCTGCATCTTCCGACCTTTAGACATTCACCAGTCTCTCAGTCTTTCATGAGTCTCTTCACTGTTTAGCCTTTGAGGGATTTGCATGAGCTGTCGTATTCCTTGCCTGATTGTATTGATTTCCTGACATCAGTCATGACTAGCGTCTCGACAATATACAGTGGTCATTTGAGCGTATCCGAGACGCCGGACAGAGAGCACTGAAAGCCACTAACATAGATCCTTTCACATTATGCCACACTTCATCCACTTGGTCGCTACTAGTACAGTGTTGGGTTACCGTGGAGAGTTGTCGGGCTAGTTTAGATCGACACTGCATTTCTTCGAAGATGATGGATAGGCATGTTTCTTAGTGATTTGCGGGAGCCGATTTCTCACAAACTGAGTGTCAATCGACAATCCTGCGCAGGCGTCCACTGGTTGTATCACAATTGACTCGAAAAACCCCTAAAGAAACCAGCGGATCGTATGATTATCGGGCGGTACATAAGTTGGATGTTGTGCTTCTGACCCGTATATTGGACGAAAGGAAGGAAACCCATCAATAAGGAAAGGAAAGCCATGGCAATTTAGTCTGGAGACAAGTGATTCAAATAGAATATGGAACATCGGAACAACTCACCAACATGTGGTTTTTCTCCAGTAAGCCAATTGTCAGCCTGCAAATTCGGTTCACAGGAGTGGTTGATGAATCGGGAAAGGTTACCCTGTTTGTGCGCATCTACAACGAAATCCAGATCGGAACTGAGACGGGCAAGATAGGTTTCGGCTAGTGGTTGAAAGCCTTTTCGTGACGAACTGATGTTTGCCAGTGCATTTGGACCAAGAGCTTCGAGAATTCGCTTATTGGCGTCGTCCAGTGTGATGATTTCTCCGACATATTCAGTGACTAAATCACCCTGTTTTGTGAATTGGCAAACAAAAAGAGAGGCGTGGTTAGAAGACTGAACAAGCAGAGGAAAGTATGGTATATTTTACAGAAACCATATTACGGAAATGGAAAAACACGACCACTCTCGTAATCTACCTTCTTATCTGGCATACAGCCAAGGATGTGGTCCAACACTTCATTTCGATAGTGTTAACTGGATGGGGACTCTTGCCTACATGCCAGAGTTTCCATTATAAAATTCTTTGGTATCGTTCGCCGAACGATCCGAGTCAAAAAACGGTATACTGAGCGATTCGGAGCTTAGTATGAATCCCAAGTAGGTAGAAAAGCGATCTGAGATTTCGTCTCCTGAATTATAGTGCCACATGCAACCACTGGCAGTCAGGTTGCTCGAAATGAAAACAGTTGAATGGAACTGTCGTTGCTGACACTTACTGATTTGAACGATTTGTTGGCTTTCAACCCGAAGCCACGATTGACAGTCCGAAATAAGGTCACCCGATCCGCCTCGGATGTGAGAAGCATTTGGGCGAACCGTCTATTACCACAGTCCTTGGTCCCAAAGGAGCAAACTGCACTGGCACAGTCGGCTCGATTCCGTACATGAATGCAACCGGACTTGTTTGAACACATAGTATTTGTACTTGATGAGGTCGCACAAGAACAAGGCGAGGATGGAACTCTGGAAGTAATGAGTTTGTGAAGCTGGGCAAAAAAGAAAAACAGATGCTGTGATGAAGACCAACAGAAACGTAGGGGTTGCTCACGAACAAACAGTTGGGACTTTCACCTCTATGACTGGAAACAATACATTGAAGGGCTAATCCCATCCTGTATCGATCTGGCCACTTTTCTTTTAAGCTAACCCTAGCTCCCTATTATAAGGCTTTATTCAGATCAACCAAAATAGTTGTACTACGGAGAAGCATCATTGTTTCTATCTGGTGTTGCTGTCAAGGATGATGATGATGAGGATTAGCGCGGGAATGCGAGTGGCCGGATCATGCATTTACGGTTCAGTTCAACCTTTCAGCTCTTGGCTATTTTTCGTTTCATAACTTTGAGATACCGTCCTTCCAACACAGGGTAACTACATCTACGGACAGATTAGAAGTGCTTTCGCTTCCTAGATCCCAGTAAGTTGCCAAAATGTACCATGTCTCGTCCGTCCGTCTATGACGTGACGAACATCAGTTATAATGCAGACGAAACGCTCGTGTTACGGTGGTGAAGTTCCTTTCGGGTACTAATGTTAATCGAACTTCTGATGTAACCCTGGCAAAGCCATTTTTTATTCACGTCAGACCCGAAGATAACCGAAATTCCACAGAAAATTAGGAGATAACATGAGTAACACAGCACGCCCTATGAATTGGGTAGTCCTGCATCCGGTCCTCCCACAGGTCTTGGTCTCAGATACCGAAATCTATCGGAAGAGCGGTAATCCATGAAGTATCTGACGGGAGGATTAACATCTCACTATTGTTCATGCGGATGTGTACTACTGACGGACCACGTGATACCCAAGTGCACGATAGTTCAAAACACAGTGGTTTTAACCAAGTTGACGTGCCTGTAGTGCGTGAGGAGTTTGGGATTTCAGATCATTATACGGGTTAACCTCAGGACAGTCTACCTCTAGGTAGTGCGGTCTTGGAAGAGTGATCCAGTCAGGCAGGTCGGTGCAAGCACAAAGTGATTTCCGAAAGTATTGAAGACAGGTGTCTGTACAAGCAAAGAAACGGTACCTGTCAATACAGATTAGGAACTTACTATACGGATTCCCTATAGATGGTGAAAGGACCTTGTATTTTTCAGGACTTCAACTGCCTCATAAAGCTTTATGAATTCTAAGGCGATCAAACCAAATCACACATCCATATAACTGAAAACTGGTTGTGGTGGAGCGTCTCAACTTACTTTAGGCCACAGTTTTTCAGGGAAAATACTGCTGTGCAATGGTGTCAGTTCAGCCAGTGCAAGTGCTTTACTTTCTTCTTCCAAAGACGGATGGATACCAACATCAGCGTCCATGGATGCCGGTGGCAAGAGTTCCTCATCCGGCAAAGGATCGGCATGCATAGAAGTCAATGGTAAACCTCGTTTGAGCACATGGTTGACGTATAGTTGATAGGCTTTCGGTGCGCGCTTCAATGCTGTGGATGAGAGGTAATAATAATAATAAACTGAGACAAACAGAACAAGGATCACAGTAATGTGGTAACCTAGCGGCCACGGGGGGTAAATAAAAAGTGTACTGTCATCGTAATTTTTCATAACAGAAAGGTGATATAATCTCAACAACAAAAACATAGTAAGCAGTAAACAGGTTTGGATAAGGTTCATTCAAATATTTTCAGTTCACTGGACAATTAACAGACTTGAATCTAGAATCCGTTAAAAAAACTTGCACAATACTTGAAGCCCTAGTGTCTGTTCCTTTGGATAGGAACACGAGTCCATCATACAGCTTAACACTATTGGTAATAATAATAATAATAATAATAATAATAATAATAGGGGAAAATAAACGTGAGTCAGAGAGCATCTATTTTCTGCTTATCGGATCCCAGGATCGTAACATAAGACAGCAACTATGTCCGGCCGCTATGAGAGTGGATGATTGGAAAGTTCGGCAATGCAGAAACTACCTGTCAGGGCGCGCCCAGACAGAAGAAAAAGCACATGTGCACAGAGTGACGCATCCCCAAGGTCACCATCGGTTCGACACGTCCGGAAAGTAGGTGAGTCGGCGGCTCCCACCAAACACGGTTTAGCAACACACGACCAGCGTAGTGGGCCTGAGAATGTTCACGACCGGAACACCACCATTGGCTGTACGGAGCGAACAAGTGAACGACCATATTTGGCCAATTAGTCATCCTATATATTTACGCAGACGCTCTGTATGTTTTGTCCTGGCAATACAGCCGTGTCCCCAGTTCTCTGTCTTCTCCCTATCGCGTAGTCTGGCAGGCTCAGTGCAGGCGTAACCAATAGCTCGGCCACCTAACGTAACCCCACGGTCACTGCACACTCTAATCAACCAGCTTTATCTGAAACTGGCTTCTTGAAGTACCTATGACGCCGATACAGCTGGAAAAGTCTCGAAGTCTATCCAACAAACCTGAATCATGGAGTTATAAACTACAATTCAGACGATGATGATGACAAAAGATATCGACTGCATCAAACTGAAAAGCGAAGACGTGTCCCTCCGAAATGTCCATATTGGACAGCTCTGATGCACAAGATTTCCAAAGGGAGGAAAACAATGACAATAAAAGGGGAGGAAACCACGGCGAAAGGTTATTCGGCCTTCCCTGAGTGAGGGAGCGATGCATCTGTTTCGGTCAGCTAGCTTTTCGGCTGACTATAGTGCAGTAGTTCCAGGTGCTATAGTTCCATTCACAGAGGACAAGAACAAAAAAATTACAGCAACGCGTTGGAGGTGCTAAATGGTTCTATTTGTCCGGTATGGCAGCTATGCGGTGAAGGCAACAGTTTCGATGCAGGATTGCTGGTGACTGTGAGACATGGCCACATCCATAACGGTCACTTGCCATTCACTTGTTCCATCCCAGGGTCCCTCCCAGGGGACGGCAGTTAGCTACGCGACTAAGCTAACTGGTAAGGGCTTTCACGCTTCGTTTCCAACTGGGCCCTGGGTCTTGTCTTCCCTACATCTGGCTCGGAGAGTGTGCCTCTGCGAAATAAACGGTCCCCTGGCGTATATGGCCTAACCAGCGTACTCTATGGAGTTTGACCAGCTAATCAATCGAGGGAAAAGTATCCCTATTGAAAACCATCCAGGATACTTCAGTATTTATAATCATGTGTTCCCAATCGACTGGAGAAAGCTTCCGAGGGACCGATTGTCAGATATAGATTCTTCGAAGACATGCACCTAGAGGCCACGTCTCCGATTCACACATGGGGACATACTGAACTGCAACACTGTACACTATCCTTGACAACCAAGCTGCCATGGCCTTCTCGATTCGGGGAGTGATTTCATCCCTTGTCCGTTAACTATCTGGCCACTATCTAACTATCTGCCTACCCATCGATAGGTTTATCTGCAACCATGTGATTTGCGTTTGATCCTGTCCAGTCTTACAGAAGTGCTCTAAAATTTGCTGATGTGAAACGCATGCTGAATACTGAAACAGAATAATCTAGGTTAGTTAAACTATTTTGTATTTCTAAAAGGTCTCTGATGGGTGATTCTTTGCTGAATCTCGACTGACGGTGAACTCTTGCGCAACCTCTTCACTCGCGGATCACTTTTGGAGGATTAAAAAAATTAGGTTATATCAGACGGGTGAGGATAATTCAGAAGGGCCGATGATTTCTTCGTTGTGGAAGTTCTGTGGTGCTATCTAACATTAGACAAGAGTACTTACCAGGTCAACGGACGGTCTGAGTGCTGTTTCTAGGTCCAGCTAGTTATCACTGACTAGTCAGGAAAACTGAATTGAGAAGTAGCTAGCATAAACAATTTGTAAATACAGCACGTAGAATAAAAAAGCTCATTGGTGCAATGAGAAACAGCGGTAACGTTCGCGGTTTCAGAAACACGAAATGACCTTCAATTTGCGCCAAAAAACCTCCAGATCTTGTAGCCTACCATCTGGTTGACCCATCGTACAAGGATATATTTTTATGACAAGCGTGTGACCTTGTACGAAGCTAAGCCATCGAAAAAAACTGTTGCCTGTTCCAGCACGTTACGAACGGACCGCTGTACTTGGAACACGTCATGAGACCCTGCCCAAGACTTTTGGTTCACACATACAATCAGCAGAATGCAACAAAATGCAATCAAAAAATACACGGTCGCTTCTATTCTTGGATGGCATTCATAGCTCAACTAAACAATCCTCAGCAAAATCTGGCAGTACCTTTAACGATGGAGCTGATTCAATGCATTATAAAAGACACTGGCTTCACGTTACGGGAACTACTCAGCCTCTCTAAGCAACCATAACCTCACACAATTGACCGGCACATCAAGATAAGTGTCCGACATATCGAGACGAATCTAATCAAACTGTGGCACTCGATCACTGAATGAAAGTGCACCAGATGCACGCAGTCAATAAACCAAGAGCAAAGTGCACTCAGCGACGATGGATACACGTGACGCGATTTCCACGGTGCGCGAGGGTTACGGGTGTACTCAGGTCCTAGTGCGCAATTAGAGTTGGAAACTGATGTATCCAACCACATCCTGAGTGCTCGTTATCGTCCATATGGCCATCTAATGTGGGTGAGCACCGATGTCAAGCCGGATGGTATCGGACCTGTAAAAATTGAGCGACAAAAAGAGCTGAACATCGTTAGAAAAGACCGGATTCTTTACTATGCAAGAGAAGAAATGAGTGACTCACCACGCGTGAACGCTTTTTCCACGCTCTTCGTACCGTGACTGTCTTTCGCGGCGGAAGACTTGAGGCCGATTTCGTAGGGTAAAACAGCACCCCGAGCTACCCACTGATACTCGTCCGAGCCCAAAAAGTGCACGGGGAACGTGCCCTCAGGATGAGTCATATTGAGGATATTGATGGGAGCGTTGCGGGCGTGAATAATTTCACAGGGCCACCAACGAAAATGCATGATCTTAGCCCAAATGATTTGAGCATAACGTGGAAACACTCCGTTTCTGAAGTACATGAGAAATCGAGGTAGGGAATCGTCGGGTTTGCGAGCAGGCAAGTCACCCATAGGGCGGTCTTTCAGAAAATACTGCTCAAGTGTGCATCTGCTGCACACCGCCCTTGACTAAATGTTAAGCTGGTGATTCAAGAATACCCGTGTGATATGAAATCCAAATGGCTGTTAGTATTTTAAAAATTGCACCACTCCGACGACAAAACAGTTGTCCACCTCCGGAGAGAGTGCATGCAGAGTACCGGACGTTTGAATAGGTTACGAGCCCTGGGAGAAACGCGCTCAAAAGATGCTAGATAATAATCAAGAAGCATTGCATACTATGGATAACTGATTGTTGTATAGCACCTATGTTAGGAAGTTTGGACTCAGTGGAGTCATTGCTTCCTTTTCTGATTAGACGGTCGCAACTTACAGACAGAAAAAAGAAATAAGCGACCTTATGTTGAACACGTGCTTCATTATCAGTTCGCACGGTACCCGCAATGATATATCACACAAACATGACATTAATAATAGCGCGTAGATTTTATGGCCATTAATCAGCACCTATCACAACACTTTACCTGCAAGACTGACAAATAAAGTTGCCATCGTTGGGAGCAGACTGACTGCATTCTTTGTGGTATGTTGCTGGGCAAGTTTGACACAACACCTGAAGCAAAATAAAAGGGATTCACTTGTACAGTTGGGACATATGAAACTTGAATCCTACTAGAACATAGACAGTGAAGCTAAAGCGGACAATTTTTCATTTGGTCGGTGGAGAATGCGAATCAACGATGTGACGGTAGCCTTGTCCTAATGAACGCTTTTTGAGAAGGTGCATTAGAGTGTAGGCGTCTAATCTAACTAATCACTAACCGTTCAGCTGTAGCACCCTTTCGGTGCCTAGCTGCCATGCCACACGAATCAGGCACGAGGGCTGGAATACTGACAGGGCGCCCAAGCCTAGACAGGAAAAGTCGAGAGACGGAGAGGCGGCTAGTCAACAAGCAACAGATTAAACCTTGCACTGAAGTTAGCATTCGCAAGCGTGAGTGAACCATCAACCACTGGATGAACCGATGGGCCGTAAGTTATCGGACTCCAAAAGTTATGAATTAAGGCTCAGGGTGATCGGAATATGGAGAACGGACACCAAGTGTATTGCTGCGAGGGATTCCACCGCTACAAAACCAAGGGTTTGGCAATTAATGGACGTTATAAAGAAGCATTCGGTCAAATTCTAGGGAGCTCAGACACATGAAGATTCTCGCCCTTATTGGAACGCGTTAGACAGGCGTACAGAAACGAATATCTCAAAATTGTGTTTGGAGTTCCAGGCAGTTTAGCTTCGCCTTCGATCAGTCGTTGACTTAATCTGACTATTAGCAAATGGAGGACAGTTGGCACTATCGATGAACGTGAACAGGTTCCCAATCTCACTGACTAACGAGTCTGCAATGACGCACAACACCGCAAGATCCTTAAGGTGCACCCATCTTAATAGTATAACTATTATTGTTATTATTAGGCTTCCAAAGGAAGTCAGAAAAAGAAGTAAGGTCATTTAGAAAAGTGAGAGTAACCGGACGTTAGACGGTACAGTATTAAGCATTTTTCTACCACGTGATTAAGATCACCCGACCACATGTTAACTGGCTGGAAGATGGCGGGTCGGACTATTGCTACGGACTTGTTGGAGGCAACCCACGGATAATACCCAGTATGATTGAAACAGATCTTTGGCTTTTCAACATAGAATGCGTTAAATTACATAATGAACCAACTCTCTAATAGCATTTCAAGATCTCCGTACACTACCATCTCCTATGAGAAAAAACACCCTGGGACATCAGTGAAAAACCTATAGGAAAATTAACGGAAACCAGGCAGATTTTACGTCTTTTTGAGGAAGGCATGTCGAATTTCAAGGAATCTGTTCTGAGGCATACCCAGTGGTAGGAGTCACACCAGTAACACGTCTTCGATTGTTCAAGACCAGAAATTTCCACCAATAAAGTAATCCAGAGAGTCCAGACCGGAGTCAAATAAACTGCTGTGTCGGAAAGTGGCTCTTGGCATGGCCATGTAATATAACGACGTAAGATACACAAACCCAGTAACAAGTGATTTCACTGGAAACGCAACAGATTCTCATGGCGAGCGTAGCACGAGGTTCTAGGAGAAACAGAATCAATAGTGAGAGCGTCTTGTGCAGGAGTGATATAAACAAGAAAGCTATACAGTTTATATTAGTGTGTGACCAGACAACGGTCAGCGCGAATTAGCTCCTGTGCTACAGTTCGCTCCCCCCCAAACCAACAAGCCCTAGGCAACTAAAGATAAATCAAAGCTTTCCTAAACCCTAGTACCCTGGACCAACCGTACTCCTTACAATTCGTACAAGTCAATCATTTCACGGGTAAGTTGCTTGTCTGTGACACCAGTGCTCCACTGACCAACCCAAGGCAAGTGAAGTCTGCTCCGACGAACTCAGGACAACAAACTCAGGAAAAACAACACTTCGAATTAGAGATTGGAAGACAATGGCTAATGGTTTTAAAAATGTACCTTATCCGCAGCTATAGTATTGAAACACTGGAAGCACCAGTTTGGATGTTGGGTTTTAAAACCGTGGGTCGAAACCAAAGTGTCTTCGTAGTGCCGTGGACAAACAATATGGGACAACGACACCTCTACGGATCCGGCCGGCGTACACAAATCACCGGTGTGGAATGCAGCTGGACACCTGGAAGATAAGAAAGCCATGAAACGAGTGAATATTAACAACTTTGACAACAGTATGGAAAAGAATATCCGCGGGTAACAAAAGATTTGAAATCCAACAGTCAGTGAGAATATGTGCACACTAGATGGACGGCAATTGACATGGTGGTTGAGATCAGGCAACTCAAAGTATGAACTTTGATTGGCTGATGTGTTGATCCGTATACGGCCGGTGACTGGCCGAAAAATTAGACTTAAGATCATATTGGTAAAAAAATAAAATGTTATAGCTTACAGGGAATATCGTAGCTACGAGAATTCAGAGATATCGAATGAAGGCTACTAAAGAGGATTAGTTACAAGAACTGCTAGGATCCTCTCAACAAAACTTCCTCGATAGAACCGCCGACATACAGTAGGATCCCATTCCAGCGACCTAGTTAGGACTAGGAGGTGTTGATTGTGACGAGATACACAGAAATCATCTCCGAAAACGCCCTGCTTAGAATAAAATGGAAGAACTGGAGAATCTGCAAATATCTGTGCAAGAAACATCTACTACGTAAAAAGTAACGAAGGGTAGGTGTGAAGATTTCAGTCACAAACAACTGAGATTTGTCATTTTTCGTTTATAGTATTTCTCCTGATCTAAAGCGGTCACCATGTCGTGGTGGTCGGGCATTTGTGGTGCAATGATCTTGCGGGCTATACTGGATGAAACTCAGTTCCTAAAGGTCTCATCATGCCAGGAAGGCCAACAGGGAGCAGCCCGATGAAGAACAGCGAGTCCTCGTATTGCGAGTAATCGTGTTACGAGGCGGTCTGGAGTCAAAGTCGTACTGTCCTCTGCGATAGGAGTGTGGGGCATTTTCACCAGGTGACCACCATGTCCGTATTTATGGAAGCAACGATACTGCCTTCCCCCGACGAAGGACGGGTCAGAAAAGGACAGTCCTAAAAACCGCACATTCCGATCGGTTGACCATGACTGTCGGTGCATTATTCAATACGGTCGAAATGCCTCTAAAACCAAAGAGTCTGGTGCTGCTCAAAAGGTACCTGCTGTGCACAGCTGCATTAGAAGTGATACTGTAATTCTTTACTACCTACGCCATCGGAACAGGCCGGTCCCCTGCAGCTAAGTGGGTATGACTATTGAGTCATTGGCTCAGGGAAGGGTTCCCCAAGAAGACCCTAACAACCTCTGTCTCGAAGTCCAGACTGTTGAGTCAAAGGCTCATAGTTGAGTACGTCAACTAGATACCCCTCTTCGCTTGGACAACCGAAAAGTATCATTTTCCCTTGCAGCTCATCGCTCACCGGCCTTCTCCCTCATTCCCTCCCAAACCACCGTACAATGCAGTTCAATCAACCCATCTGCCAATCTCCTGGCCACTACTCCGTGTCTAAACCACCACCGAAAAAATAAACCGAAATCACCTATTAACTTCAAAAGATCTGATCTACGTTGCAGTCTTTAATGTCTGTACTCTATATCGAATTGAGCAACAGCGTCCCTTGCTGAAATCTTGCTTTCTCTTTCTATCGATGTATGTTGCGTCTCCGAAAAATGCATATAAGACCCTACTTCGGTCATGCATCTCAAACCGCTTAGGACGAGCCCACCTATTCCACATTTTACTCTCCGGGCATCCAGTAATCCTGACGCAATGGCTCGTGGTATCTACGTTATGTGATTTGCACTCAGTCCCACGGCTGAAAGCGCCTTACTGGATCCCAGTAAACAGCCGTACTTGCGCTGTGCGGTCGCCTGACTCAATTAATATCAATGGGGATTGATGCAGTGAATGGTGTTTGTCTGTCGTATCAGCGCACGCCCTGGAAAAGTGACTGAAAAGAGACTGAAAAAGTGTTCGGAGGCCAGCCATCCCTAATAACCGAACATCACATCATTTGGACAGATGTGTCACGTGCAGGACACGGGCCAAACGAAGGCATGCCCTGATTGGTCAGAATGCCAGCCAATCCGGACCGAGGATCTTTGAATGGACGCTTCTCGCCCCCTCACGGTGCTTCTAGCACTACCTTGTGGAACACCCTGTGATTACTCTATAAATACAAATGTAATGATTCTCTTTTTGTCTCCATAAAGGGCTGTGTAGAGCTACCGTGCCTTTTCATATACGATGGTGGGCGGAGCAGGAAGGCAAGGGACCGATACAGAGTTGCACTACCGTCCAGCAAGTCACAACAAAAGGATCTGTCGCGAGTGATTCGGCCGGCAAGAAGTCCGGAAGAAACGCTATTGGGTAGTAGGTTTGGAGTCGATGCTGAGCGTACGGTTAATGGGGAGCGGCTCCTTCAGTTCGATTAAATGAACACTGGATATCGCCGAGATCAGTAGATCTTATTGCTGCCAGAAAGACTATACCAGCCACTAGCGATCTGATGGTGCACACAGATCCCCCAAACAAGGGATAATCAGTAGCTTGAAGAACGATAAAGAACACTGGTGGTTTCGCTGCAGGCAAAAGCAGCTGATTCGATCGACCGGCAAAAAGAAGACCTGTCAACGAAACGATATTCGAAAAGGACAGAACGGTAATTCACTTCCTCAATCGTCGTATTGAGCAATGGGCTGAGCAATTCAAAGAACAGTTCAGCTGGTCTATTTCAATGGAACAGCTAGAAGAACACAGTGGGCCTGGATGGAATATCGACAGCAGCCAGCCATCAAAAACAGAAATCAAAGTGAGATATCAATTCTTCAGTGCAACAATGCATCAGACTCAGATGATCTGCATCCAGCAATCTTCAGAGAAGGTGGTGAAAGGTTTAACAACCATACTGCAGATTTGGAACGAAAACAGAAATCAGCCCAACGGAGATCCCTTACCGTTAAAAAGGGAGCAAGAAAATCACCGTGACACCAACATGGTATCCGTCATATCTCAGGTGCTCGCTGAAATTATTTTGCTTAGGCTGGGGGATTACCGCGAGGGACATTCGTAAGAATCAAGCTGAGTTTTCCCCTGGCCGAGAGACAATATGTTGAACGGTGTCACTCCTTCAAACGTCCCATGTCGGTCGTATTTCGTGATCTGAAAGCTGCTTTTAATTCTGTCGATTGTCAGCAACTTTGGTAGTGTCTGGTGATCAAATGTCCTTTCCAAATTTCTTTCCCTTATGAGGGTACTGTATGCGAACTACCGTGGGCTCGTACAAGTATAAGGAAAGTTTTCTCCTGAGTTCACTATGTGTTATGTCTTGAAGTACGGTAGTGCAACAATTTCTTTCATGAGGGTACTGTATGCGAACTACCGTGGGCTCGTACAAGTATAAGGAAAGTTTTCTCCTGAGTTCACTATGTGTTATGTCTTGAAGTACGGTAGTGCAACTCTGTATCGGTCCCTTGGCTTCCCGCTCCGCCCACTATGTTATATCAAAAGGCACGGCAGCTCTACACAGCCCTTTATGGAGACAAAGGAAAATCATTACAGCTGTATTTATAGGGTAGTCACAGAGTGTTCCACAAGGTCGTGCCAGAATGTCCGTGAGGGGGCGAGAAGCGTCGAGTCAAGGTACTTGGTCAGCATTTCTGAGTCTTAGCAGCGTGTACTCAAATTGCTTTTGTTGCTGCAGCTGCGCGTGCTCAAACTACCTTTGCTGGTGTTCCAAAATCATCTGAAATCGATCAGCTGGAATTGGGATCGTGGGAGACCCGTCACAAGTGTTATGTCAAAAGTGACCTAGCTGGGTGATTTAGAAGCTTGATAGAATTTGTTCTATCATGATTGAGGGTCTAGTACACGAGTGGTAAAACCTCAAAGAAGGACAAAGGACACCGGAAGAAGATCGGCTATATTACAGATGAACCAACGGACGAGCACTGCGGCTCAGTTGATTCCAACAGAGAAAATGAATTGTGAAATATTACAAACAGTAGAATTGTTTGTTAAGATCTGATCGTCCTGACGGGATGAAAGATTGATAGGTCTACAAAGGAAATTTTACTAATGGGGTCATGAAGGGTGAGGAAAAAGTATATGAAAAAGAAGGGGGCCTTCAGCAGTAGTCTGTTTTTGTTTACCTATGGTATATCGAAACACAAGGCCACCCGGATGGTTACCTCATGCGACTACCACTGTGGCATGACAGCGTTTTTAACTGCAAGTCATGATTATACATCAGTGGGGACACTGCCAGTATACTCAGTTCTGGACAAGAGGACGATTAGGGTCCTCAACCAAAGCCCTTGGGTCAGAAACCTGACCGTAAGACAGAGGCGTTTGGTGGAAAACGCCAGCGCATCAAATTTTTCAATGAACAAGTCACTATACACGTTCCAACTCCCAACCCGATCAGAGCTCTAACCACTAACCAACCTGGCATAAGAGACTGTGAGTATTGTGTGGACACTACCCGGTATAGCTCAACGGGTCATGGAGGCACACGAAGGTCACATCCCCCCTTCATGTTATCTTCAGTCGTTTGATCACCAGCGTCTCCATAACAAAGCAAGCTACATCACGCAACTAGGTGATGTGTACTCAGCCATTTGGCGACGAATCCGAATAGTTAAGCAGCCGATTAGACTTCCCAGGTTAAAATGGTTTATTAATTTATTACGTACGGCAGCGAAGCATCGGTGCTGAACACTGATGACATGCTGTCAATGATGACGAATGTATTACGTATTGCCACTATCTACGCAAGAAGGCATTTTCTGTTCCCATCCGTTGTCGGCGGCAGCTTCGCGGAGGGACAGGTCATTACATTACAACGCGAAATCAAAGCGGTCAAACTGAATGTTGTGGAATCTTCGTGGCTTCCCCATCGGACTATTGTGAGCATAATTTCATACGGTTTCATACGGAAACCCAGGAGGACATGGCACACAATCGACCTCAGTGGTGAGCATGTTGTCACTTACTAGCAGGATCACCCATTTGTCTTTGTCGCTGAGCTTACGTCGGGCGTGGCTCGCAAAAGACTGGGTCAATCACGCTGATCGAATTTTAATTCAGATGGTCAAATGCATACAAAGGTCTAGGCACGCTG